GCTTATAGAATATATTTCAAATAAAATATTGTATATATAAAATATACCAAATATTATTAATAATTTTAATTTTATTTAAAAAATTATAAAAACTTTTTAAAATTCTAGGCAAATTTGCCTGGAATATTGTTTAAGAGATATTTAATTTTAATTTGAAGTAAGTGATATTACCTTTTTTTATTTAATCAAGAAGAGTATTATTAATTATTATTTTATCAATTTTGCTTATATAAATCCAATAGCTTACTAATCAATTTTTTTTTTATATCTAATAATAACTAACTAGAGTATAACCAATTTTTATTATTCTTCATCATTTAAATACTTATGAATATAGCTATACATCAAATATTTTTTTATTATCTTATTTTAATACCTATAACTATACTCAAGAAAATATATTGTTTTATTTTAATATTCATATTATAATTATATTGTAAACACTTTGCCATCATTTTATTCTAATATCTACAAACAAGATTTTGTGAATACTTTGCTATTACCTTATTTTAGAGTCAGAAATTTTGATCTAATAGATCTTATATTAACAAATAGCTAATAATTTGTTTTTAGCTAATTTAAATATTAATAATCTTGTTCTAATTAGGTTCTTCTTGCCTATTAACTAACAATAAGTTGATTAAATCAGATATGGATGTTGATACTTGACTATATAAAGTAAACAATAGAGTTTATATTGATAAAAAAGAAGGTAAATATAATGATAGTAAAAATGATAATAATGAAAATAAAGATAATAGAAATAAGAAAGTATAGGATTTATTAGTATTATACAAAGGAATAGAATTTAAAACATAAAAACTTGCCAAATCATATCTAAATAATTATACAAAAAAAAGAGTTCAGTTTCTAAAAACAAAGTTGTGTTTTGAATTTTAATAATAATTTTGTAATAAAACAATATATATTTAAATACTTACATACTTAAGAATAGAAATCTATCATAAATTTTTAGTTGATTAATTAGTCGACTAAATCTATTAGTTATTAACTGACTAAAAATTAGCTAATTAACTAGTTGAATAATTAATTAGTTGACTAGTTAAATAATTAATTAGTCAACTAGTTAAATAATTGATTAGTCAACTAGTTAACTAATCAATTAGTCAATTCAATTAGTTAACTAATCAACTAATCAATTAGTTGAATAATTAATTAGTTAACTAATCAACTAGATGAATAATCAATTAGTTGACTAATTGACTAATTGACTAGTTACTAATCCAAATAATTAACTAATCTGTTATTTAGATATTATATATATAAATAATAGTTAACTAATTAAATTTGTCTATTAATTTTTGATTAATTATATATAATAATAATAACTTATTTGATTAGTTGATTAGTTGACTAGTCAACTAGTTGATTAATTAGTATAGTGGATATTTAATTTAATTAGTTAAAAAATGTAAACAAATAAACAATTAATATAAACAATATGTATAATATAGATCATTATTGTGTATAACAATAATATAACTATCATTAATCTATCTATAAATACTTATGATAATTAACCAATAAAATTACAGAATTTTTTTAAAACATTTATATTATTTTTAATACTAGAAAATAATACACATAAAGTAAAATAAATATAATATTTATTATTAAATACCCAACTCATTAACAATGTTCAAATCTCTAATTACTAAAATTAAAAGTATAATAATATTTAATTGCTTTTATATAGTTTAAAAAATTTATATATAGTAATTTTTTTTTTTTTGGCGATCATGACATATTTTATTAATAGGGTAACAGTTACATATGCTAATGCTAATACTATATCTGATACAAGGTATCTTTCAATTATAATATTGCTTACCCGGTTACTAGAGGTATCTATATGTGATCTGCCAAAGCAGAATTTGTCTCATTACCAAATTTGACATTTTTGTCTTATTTGGTAATTTAACAACTAGGTTCTACAACCTGTCATGATCTTTTTTATTTTTTGTTCTATTAACTACTATTTTTTGTCTCAATCCAGTTATCTATTTCTTTTATAGTTATAAGTATACATTTTTCACATTCTATTTCCTCCTTTCAGAGGGTTTTTGTAGCCTTCTCTTTTCTTTTTCTTTAGATTTTCTGGGCTTCTTTTTAGATCCAAAGTCTTTTTCCTTCTTTTTAGGTGTTATTCCTATATCTTTTTTCTATTTACAGATATCATCGCATCTCTGTTTCCATATTTTATCTTTTTTTTTTTTTTTATTTTTATTTTTTTTTTAAATTGCTTATTCGCTTGTAAATTTTTTATTAATTAAGATTTTTAGAACTTATTACAATTAGATATTACAAAGAT